TTTTTTTGAAGAACATCTAAATGGTTTGATGTTTCTCCAGTTTCTAATAAACCATCTCTCAATATTATTAGAAGAAGTCCCTTTCAATATTAGAATCAGCATGTGGCTTCAATTGGATGGAGCTCCGCCTCATTATCACTGCAAAGTTCGGCAAATTTTAAATGCCAACTTTCAAAACAGGTGGTTTGACAGAAATGGGTTTCAAAATTGGCCCCCCAGATCTTCGGACTTAACTCCACTAGATTTCTTTTTGTGGGGTACATAAAAGGAATTGTCTACCATACGCTTCCGACAACTTCACACGATTTTAATACACGCATAAGAGACGCGTTTAAAACTGTAACTCCGCAAATCTTGTCGCAGAGTTAGCAGTTGTTTTGAAAAAAGAATTTAAAAGTGCCTGGAAATGGATCGTCAACATTTCGAACATTTGTTATAAATAATTTCCAAAAAGACAAAAACTTAGTTATAAACATCCTAGTGCCATTCGATAGGTAATTAAAAATTGCATTTCCTGGTAAGCTAAAAAATATGGGGTTGTATTTAAATTAATCAAGTTATAGCCACTTAAAGTTCTTATTTGATTAGTTTAAATTTGTGGACACCCTGTATAAAATGGTAAGTTTATTATCATTGGCATATAAAATATGATTTCTTGTTACACCAAACTACGAATTACGTTTACATAACTTAAATAATTCTAAAGTATTTGACACATGAACATAATATTAGATTTTGATAAAATTCGAATTATTTAAAAAACCTTTAGATTTAGACATTATAAATCTTATTAAAACAAGCACTTATTTTGCTCAGAGAATCCAAAAATGCAATAATATGTAGAGTATTTCATTTAGAAAAACACAACTTTGATACTTTTAGGGCTTTGGGACACTCCGTACATTACAAAAATATTTTTAAAATGTGCACCCGATAGGCGTCTGTGGATTCATCAAATAATACTTTGCAAAAAACAAACCTGCTAGCCGCAAACGTCCGTGCCGTATAGCGTGAATAACCCTGTACAGTAAGACAAAAGCAAAATACTAAATGAAACACCAGTGAGCACAGTATAGCAGCAGACCCACAAAATCATGCAAATGTTAATTTTCAATTGCGTTTTCCTCATAATGAACAGTCGACCTTCCTTCCTCTACCTCCTTAGACCCGTGCAAAATTGAACCATATGTATATAATGTAAACTCATAGTCGAAATACAACATATTAAAAACTCAAGTATCTGGATCGTATTTATGTCAGAAATCCCATGGAATGGCCTGCGGCATCTCGCAGGAAACATGTGAGGCGTCTTGTTAAATTAATTTCCCTTTTATTCATCAATCAAATTCACTGTCGACCCCTTATCGAATTTTGCTCGTTGTTCCCCACAAATCGCGTGTTAAATCTGTATTGATAAGCAGCTGCTGACGACTAGCAAAAAATCATTTTTTGGAGGGTTTAGGCCCAAGCCGGTTAAGTAATAATCCAACAGGCAGTACCTACTTACGAGGAATCAGAGAGTCGGTCGACGTCTTCTCGCCACAATCAGTGCACTGGCAAGAGAATTTCTTCAAGTCCATGACAAAACTGCCATAGACGATGGGGTTCATGCAACTATTCGAAACCACCATTAGGAAGAAGAAATCTTGGACAAAGTCCGGAAGACTTTTTTCAGCCGTTGCCCTATCGAACATGTACCTGCAAGATTAGCACTTGGAGGCTTTGAAGCTGGGACAAGGTTTCACACGCACCATAAAGTCATCATGGTATACGGGGTGCAACAGAATATGTAGATGACCACTATGGTGACGGTCATCCTCAGGGTTCTGATGCGCGCCCTTTCGATGTTTTTCGTATCGGATCTTCGCAGTCTCAGTTTGCCATTCGGCTGATTCACTTCCTTACCTGAAACCGACAGTTGTTTATCTTAGATAGCTTCGGCTAGCGCGATTTGGCTTACTGTTGTTGTTGTGCGACCTGGAAGTTCTGGAAATTTCTGCCAGAATGCAGCTGTAAGCGACGATGATGACGAAAAGTGGAATGAAGTAGAGAAATAGAATGCAGGAAATGTTATACACCAGTTCCATGACTTCGTTCGGAAATGAACCGAACGCCACGCACTGCTTGAAATCTGGATTCTTGGGATGTGCTCTCACATGGAATACAAAACACTGAAACAGCAACAAAATTAATATGTTTCGGGTTTCTTTTATCTTACCAAATGTCTAAATAACTAAACATTCCGGAAGATGTTTGCGATTGGTTTGTGAATTTTTTTACGTTCCTAAACTGGTCAAAAGTTCAGTTACAGTTACGATGAAGCAATGAAATGGAAAGCCTGATTGGCATCATTTTCAGAGCCTCTAGGAATTTTGCACTAAACGAACCTTTACGAAAATTTGGTCAAAACATTTCTGCAATTCAATAAACACCGTGTTTCTACTCCGAGGTAGAAAAGTTGCACTAAAAAAGACACACACTGATTTTTGAGAAGCGCCCAAAAATTTCCGTATTTTAGCCACATGCGGCGCTCTCTGAAAAAAATAAAAACTTCCTAACTAGACCAACTAGCTCCTTGAAACTTTTACATGGTAAAGTCACGGCATTCAGGTACTTTAGGTAGAAAAATCGCGCATAAATACGCAAACAGTGATTTTAGAGAAGCGCCCAAAAATTTCCACATTTTAGTCATATGAGGCGTTCTCTGAGAACAATTAAAACTTGCCACCTAGCTACTTGAAGCTTTTGCCCGGTCAAGACAATGTATTCAGGTACTTCAGGTAGAAAAATCGCGGAAAAATACGCAAACACTGATTTTTGAGAAGCGCCCAAAAATTTCCATATTTTTGTCATATGAGGCGTTCTCTAAACTTCTCGGCCAGAACTCGTTGTGTGAAAAAAATAAAAACTTCCTAACTTGACCAACTAGCTCCTTCAAACTTTTACACGGTAAAGACAAGGCATTCAGGTACTTTATGTAGAAAAATCGCGCAAAAATACGCAGACACTGATTTTTGAGAAGCGCCCAAAAATTTCCTATATTTTTGTCATATGAGGCGTTCTCTGAAGAAAATTAAAACTTGCCAACTAGACCAACTAGCTACTTGAAGCTTTTGCCCGGTCAAGACAATGTATTCAGGTACTTCAGGTAGAAAAATCACGCAAAAATACGCAAACACTGATTTTTGAGAAGCGCCCAAAAATTACCATATTTTAGCCACATGAGGCGTTGTGTGAAAAAAATAAAAACTTCCTAACTTGACCAACTAGCTCCTTCAAACTTTTACACGGTAAAGACAAGGCATTCAGGTACTTTATGTAGAAAAATCGCGCATAAATACGCAGACACTGATTTTAGAGAAGCGCCCAAAAACTTCCATATTTTTGTCATATGAGGCGTTCTCTGAAGAAAATTAAAACTTGCCAACTGGACCAACTAGCTACTTGAAGCTTTTACCCGGTCAAGGCAATGTATTCAGGTACGTCAGGTAGAAAAAGGGCGCAAAAATACGCAGACACTGATTTTTGAGAAGCGCCCAAAAATTACCATATTTTAGCCACATGAGGCGTTCTCTGAAAAAAATAAAAACCTCCTAACTTGACCGACTAGCTACTTGAAACTTTTACACGGTAAAGACAAGGCATGCTGGTACTCTAGGTAGAAAAATCGACTAAAAATTCGAAGACACTGATTTTTGAGAAGCGCCCAAAAATTTCCATATTTTAGTCATATGAGGCGTTCTCTGAAAAATTAAAACTTGCCAAGTAGACAAACTAGCTACTTGAAGCTTTTGCCCGGCCAAGACAATGTATTCAGGTACGTCAGGTAGAAAAATCGCGCAAAACTTCGCAGACACTGATTTTTGAGAAGCGCCCAAAAATTACCATATTTTAGCCACATGAGGCACTCTCTGAAAAAAATCAAACCTTCCTAACTAGACCAACTAGCTCCTTGAAACTTTTACATGGCAAAGACAAGGCATTCAGGTACTTTATGTAGAAAAATCGCGCAAAAATACGCAGACACTGATTTTTGAGAAGCGCCCAAAAATTACCATATTTTAGTCATATGAGGCGTTCTCTGAAAAAAATTAAAACTTGCCAACTAGACCAACTAGCTACTTGAAGCTTTTGCCCGTTCAAGACAGTGTATTCAGGTACGTCACGTAGAAAAATCGCGCAAAAATACGCAAACACTGATTTTTCAGAAACGCCCAAAAATTTCCGTATTTTAGCCACATGAGGCGCTCTCTGAAAAAAATAAAAACTTCCTAACTAGACCAACTAGCTTCTTGAAACTTTTGCCCGGTCAAGACAATGTATTCAGGTACTTCAGGTAGAAAAATCGCGCAAAAATACGCAAACACTGATTTTTGAGAAGCGCCCAAAAATTACCATATTTTAGCCACATGAGGCGTTCTGTGAAAAAAATAAAAACTTCCTAACTTGACCAACTAGCTCCTTCAAACTTTTACACGGTAAAGACAAGGCATTCAGGTACTTTATGTAGAAAAATCGCGCATAAATACGCAGACACTGATTTTAGAGAAGCGCCCAAAAACTTCCATATTTTTGTCATATGAGGCGTTCTCTGAAGAAAATTAAAACTTGCCAACTGGACCAACTAGCTACTTGAAGCTTTTACCCGGTCAAGGCAATGTATTCAGGTACGTCAGGTAGAAAAAGGGCGCAAAAATACGCAGACACTGATTTTTGAGAAGCGCCCAAAAATTACCATATTTTAGCCACATGAGGCGTTCTCTGAAAAAAATAAAAACCTCCTAACTTGACCGACTAGCTACTTGAAACTTTTACACGGTAAAGACAAGGCATGCTGGTACTCTAGGTAGAAAAATCGACTAAAAATTCGAAGACACTGATTTTTGAGAAGCGCCCAAAAATTTCCATATTTTAGTCATATGAGGCGTTCTCTGAAAAATTAAAACTTGCCAAGTAGACAAACTAGCTACTTGAAGCTTTTGCCCGGCCAAGACAATGTATTCAGGTACTTCAGGTAGAAAAATCGCGCAAAACTACGCAGACACTGATTTTTGAGAAGCGCCCGAAAATTACCATATTTTAGCCACATGAGGCACTCTCTGAAAAAAATCAAACCTTCCCAACTAGACCAACTAGCTCCTTGAAACTTTTACATGCCAAAGACAAGGCATTCAGGTACTTTATGTAGAAAAATCGCGCAAAAATACGCATACACTGATTTTTGAGAAGCGCCCAAAATTTCCATATTTTAGTCATATGAGGCGTTCTCTGAAAAAAATTAAAACTTGCCATCTAGACCAACAAGCTACTTGAAGCGTTTGCCCGGTGAAGACAATGTATTCAGGAACTTCAGGTAGAAAAATCGCGCAAAACTACGCAGAAACTGATTTTTGAGAAGCGCCCAAAAATTTCCGAGTTTAAGCCATATGTCACGCTCTCTAAAAAAGATCAAAATTTCCTAAGTAGACCAACTGGTGACATGAAACTTGTGCACCGCAAAGACAAGGCATTCAGGTACTTTAGGAAGAAAAATCGGGCAAAAATACATAGACACTGATTTTTCAGAAGCGCCCAAAAATTTCCATATTTCAGCTACACGAGGCGCTCTCTGAAAAAAATCAAAACTTCGTTACTAGACCAACTAGCTCCTTGAAATTTTTGTAAAAACAATGTATATGTAGGTACCTCAGCCAGGTACCAGTAGTTAATTTTAATAAAACAAATTTATTTTGAAATAAACTTTTAAGCATATTTTCAGGCGCATACTGAGCAATACAGAAGCCACCAGAACGTCAAAAAGATCATTATTCTTGCTAGGACTTCAACGATTCATTCAACGCTTGTTTGGTAATGAATACAGGTCATTTTGTGAGTGGTTTTTTCATGATGGATAAAGAGGAGCAATAAAAGAACTGTGTAAAAAACCAACAGCAAGCAAGGATTTGGGAAAAAACCTTCTCAGATTTCCCTCAGGCATATTTAGACTCGACCGCACTTTATCGGTTTGCTTCATTTTCAACCCTTTTTCGTTGTCTATTCGAACGATGCTTTTATTGCCAATTGAATGGATGAAAACTGCGAAACAATATTGAATAAATAACTGTGTGCAAATAAAAGCCTGCGATCGGGAATTAGTGTAAACCGTCTATTTTGATTAAAAATATACGCACTGTGCATTGTTAATTAAACAGATTTTTGCCCCTTTTTTTCCTGGCATGAGTTTTATAAATATTGGATGGTTCAAAATTGCCTCAAAAATGGCTCGAAATCATAGATTGAAATTATTTCACATCACCTCACCCTCTGATAGACTAAACAAGTCTCTATGTACAACCCTTCTGGAGGGGAATGGCGTCAATCTGAAATCACCCAGTATATTAAATCTGCGGAAAAATATACGCACTACAAAATAACATTATTATTAGCCCTAATCTGGAAAAGGTTTTGAAAAGGCTCCCCAGTGTAAAATTCGCATATAAACCAAGATAAATAGTCCAATTTCCCTTTCTGAAAATATCACGTAATATTTCCATAGGCGTTGTTCTATCTGCCAAATGTCAGGAGTGTGAACCAACCAAGCAAGAAGTAATCCGAAATTTAAAACGGCCCTTTGGGAAATACCGTTCAGACGGAGTTATGATGGGACAATATGAAGGTTTTGCTGATTCACATTTTTCCGTAATTAAGGGCGCCGATGTTTCTTCGCGATCGTATATGTTTTTCCTTATGTATTTCTAAGTGTTTACCGCGGTGTGAACAGCAATCTGTTTCAATTGAATCGTCATTCGAGCAACTTAATGGAAAACCTTCTAAGGCTTCAACGACAGAGCTGGATAAATACATTTTGTAATTTTGTTTTTGTAACCAGCTTGTTCGGTATAGCAGCGAAATCAATTTTTGATTTTTTTACAAAAGCTAATTGAAACATTTAGCTTCTCCACAAAACCGCATCTTTAATTAACGACAAGATAAACGCCTAAAAAGCAATAAGCAGCAAGACTACTTCCGCTCCAATCTAAGTTTAACAACAGCACCCAAGCGATAGCGTTAAGCGCAAAACAAAGTTTGCGCAAGTTTAATGATAAGTTTCAGGCCAGTCCAGTTTCAAATGAACCAAATCTGTTCATTTTAATATTCCAGGAAATTTTTGCTGCAGACAAATAGCCGAAAGCTCGAGCAAAGAGCAAATCGCAATTTAAAGTTACCGAGCTAACAATAGCCAGCGCAATAAGACAAGATAAGATAGTATTTGTATAAAGTCCTTTGAACCCTTTGCTTTGAGTTGTAATTTTTGAAAACATACAGATAGTTGGTTTCCGATTATTGTCAGCTTGAGGCTTTTCGTAGAGTAGGTAGAAAAAAAGGCGAGTTTAAACAGTTTAAGCGGCGTTAAGAAACGTGGCATTTCACGAGCGAACAGTTTGGAACTCTTAAAAATCTCACTGGAGCTTCATTAAACCTGGTTCTTGAACTTGAGATACCAAAAATGTTCGTTTCGGATTGTTTTTTTCGGGTTTTTTCTTGGAAAAGCTGTTGTTACCTGAGGCACACAATATAGAAGCGAAGCACCCCAAGCAGCCAGCAGCATGACTTTGCCCCTTTGCCTGGCAATATTGACCCGAAGGGGGTACATAACTGCAAAGTATCGATCCAAGGAGATGCACACTAATACATTACTGCTAAGATAGGGACCCAAAGCCCGCAGGAATTGGACGATTTTGCACGCGGCATTTCCGGCTATCCATCGTCCAGTTAGTCGCCATCCCACCTGGAACAAAGAGGAACAATGTGGTGAGTTTCTGTGTTTTATTTTACAGGAACAGTGCGATCATTAGCTAATGTTTTGGATCGGCAAATGTGCCTTGCGAATTTTGCTTTCCGTTCAAGTACACACTTGCCACAGGAAACTCGCTCAGTGAGGCTCAATAGGCTTTCAGTTAGGACAAGGGCGGATCCAGGGGGATCATGAGCCCCCCTTTGTGCTGGGTTTTTGTCGACGAATTGTATTTTTTCTCTTTTCGTAAACAATTTAAGATAATAAGTGCGTTGTATGATGGCAAACACCAACGCGAATGACGCGCATATTATGAATATTTAGCTGTTTTTATAAATATGTATGTATATGGCGCATCAGATTATTCAGTATGAGTAAATTAATAACTCGGAATATTTTGCAAACTGGAAATCAATTGAGAAACTTGACAGTCATAACAGTTTGAAGATCGAAACGATTTTTCATGACGAATGGTATTAATGTTTTCTGTGTGGATTTGCAATTTTTTGGAAAAACAGCTTTTTGTATGTAGAATTTTTCTGGCTAACTGTTAATATCGGGCCGATTCGGCAATTTTGAAACTTGTTCGATCGATTTTCTATAAAATCTGCATCTCGGAAAATTGTAATCGGTTGAAAAACTTGGAAGGCATGAGGATTTTAAGGTCGAAAAGACGATTTCCCGAACAAAATACTTTAAATTTTAGATAGATTAACTCATTTTAAAAATAGAACGTCGCATTGTTGGCAAAGTGTATGTGCAAAGTGTGTTGTAACTTGAAATCATTCGAGAATCTTGAAAGTCTTAACAGTTTCAAAGTCGAAAAGACGATTTTTCAAGACAAATGTTATCAATGTTTTCCTTGTAGATTTAAGGCATCATTTTTTTTTAAACAACTTTTCTGCATAACTGTTTTTCTAACTAAATTTGTTCAAAAACGCACAATTTGCTATAAAAACTGCATCTCGGAAAATTGCAATCGGTTGAAAACCTTGGAAGTTGTGTTGATTTGAAGGTCGAAAAGACGATTTCCCGAACAAAATACTTTGAATTTTTACCTCGATTAACTGATTTTCAGAACAGGACAACATATTGTTTGCAAAGTGCATTCGCGACACACATTGGGGTCGTTACCCCCTCTTGGTGCTGGGTTTTTGTAGACAAATTGTATTTTTTTCT